TGCGTGCGCGCGTGCGCGTGCGCGCGTGTGCGCGTGCGTGCGCATCTGTGGTGCAGCAGCTAAGCCCAGGTGTTATCGACATCACTGCTTGATCCACCTAGGGCGAGGCTTAAACAGGCCCGGCCTAGCTTCCTACCCCATCACATGACATGACTGTCACACAACCCTCGCTTCAACTCACTTCGCTCGAGTCCTCGGTGGCAGCTTGTCGATGACAACGGAGAAGTCCTCTTCCGTCGGGCTGCATCGGGTTCAGAGGTTAGCCGCCAAGCCGCCTAGCTGACAGGAGTCCTGGACCGACACGTTCTCAAGGTCATCCGTCAATGCTCTCCGAGGGATCTCGATGAAGCCTGTTTATGAGTCTGCTGCGCAGGGAAGTTTGAAAGAAGCGAAAACTTCAAAGCACCTCTGCTTCAGTTGGCCTGTCTAACGGTAGTCTAATGCATGTGTCAGCTTCAGGCCTGAGACGCCTGCACGAGACAGCACTACAGGTACTGACAGGTACTACAGAGTCTTGCAGCTCCGAGACGGAATCGCACCAAGTAGACGAAAAGAATGATCCTGACCCAAACCGTCATGCAAGGGCGCGTGGCGCAACAGCGTTATGAGCAAATCGGCCACTGGGCTGCAGCTACTGTAAAAAGGCTCTGGGCTTCTCTCGCAACAGGGTTGCTGCCGTCTGCAGCCTGGTCACATGGAGGCGAGGTCTAGCCAAGCAAAGATGGGTGTCAAGTCCGACAGCTCTGCTCCATCACAGCCTGCCCGGACTATGCGCAACCTCGGGCCATCGGAGAGCACCGGCTGAAGACTGGAGACTCAAACTACACCTGTTTGTCTACAGAGCGAAAGTTGCGCCGAGCTGCAACGGGTCCAGCACCTTCGAGTCCTTGCAAAGATGCAGCAAGAGCGTGAAACTGTCAGGGGGCCAGGGCAATTCCAAGTCCGTCAACTCAGCCCTTACAGATGAACTCACAGAGAGACACACGAAATCTCTGCAGCAGCACCAACAACCGCGAAATTCGTGCCTGCCAAAACATGTCAATGCAACCCCAAAGCCCTAAACCTAAACCCCTTAGGACTTGCTGGTAGAGGTCTGCGAGCAGGCCCAGGTTGCCGATGGAAGCACGCGCCTGGAGCAAGAGAAGCACACCCTTCCGCTGATCATGTGCTACTCCGTGCTTACCCATTTCAAACATGAGATCAACTAGCAACTGGATCCTTTAGCACGCCACCGTCCTGCAATAGTAGCGGTATGAAAGATGGACGATAGACCACATCAGACACGTCGGGCATGTCTGCGTTCTAGTTGTCATTCGCCCATCGCAGCCGTGTTCGGCCCCACGACATTATCCCATAGAATACCCCAGATGCCACCCAAGCTGCCAAGAACTGCCCGTTGTCGGGCGCAAAGGTGCCCAGCAAGCAGAAAGCAGAGGTGGGGAAGGTGAGGGCCGCCTTGGCAGGGCCGGGACCCCGAGTAGACTGAACATCCCCTTTGACATCATTGTAAACCTCTGTGATGTTGGGGTGGCACCAACAAACTCACCCAAAAATATTCCCTGGCCCAGACCTTCCGGGCGGAAGACTACTTTAGATTGCGGACCCAGAGACCCGGGTAACATCAACAAACAGGGTGACAATCAAAATATTCCGGGCCCCAACCAATCCCAAATAAGGCTTGCTTTGAGGAAAAAGCTTATTTGTTTAGAGAACAGGAAAGAGAAGCCTAGACCCGAAAGCCAGCTGGCAGAGTGCAGTTCTAGAGGCTTCGGTATTCGAGAGCTGCAGGCTTTGAACTGCAGCAGCTATTCCTTTTTTGCGGAGCCATTCACATATTACTGCTCGTACTTTGCTAGTACTACTATGACTTAAACTACGATTACTACACACCCCGGACCCGGCCAGAGGTTTACTTTTGCCACCCTCCAACCCAACGACCACCCCAAGAGACCGTGTTATTACAGCCCCCACATTTCTATGCCCAGAAGCCATGGTTGCGAAGAGAATGCCCAAGGTTCGGAGGGTGGTGAAATACATCTCAAGGCCACTTCCACCGATAGCACCTGATTCATGCAGAACATCGCGAAGAAACAGGGGAACACCAGGGCAACTGTAGACGATCATCCCTCCATGTCTAGCTCAGTTGGGTGCTGAAGCCATCGATGTCCGTGCAGAATGGGTTCAGCCACTTTCCACCCTTAGCTGCGTTGCCTGACCTTCCGTCTGAAAGAGCCCCGGGCTTCTCAGTTGGCATGCCTTGCCGCACAACTCTTACTCCCCAGCCGGGCAGCCACAGTTGCACTGCTAGACCTCAGGTATTTCAGCGATACATATTGGTGCATGGCTAATTAATTCAAACCAGAGCACTGCGATCACCTTTCTTAAGGCACACTTTGCCCTGTGTGACGAGACACACTAAGTGGCGCCTCGCTGAAGCCAGGTCTGGCTCTGTGCGGCGGATATCATCCTAGCAGGGCATCCCGGAGCCACTGACTGGAGCTTTTAGTCAGAATGCCTATCACAGAGGTTGGAGACTGGAGCTTCGCTCTCAAGTCTCGAACACTCGAAGCCGGATCATCCGATCCCAAAATATCGCCTTGACGGTGGATCTTGGCTTCATGCTGCCTTGGGTGAAATGCGCGAACACAGGTGCAAACCTTTGTGGCTCGGGTGGAATGGACGTAGCTGTCTGGGCGGAAAAGAGAGCTAGCCATCCGGCCTACGCGATTGAGTGCACGTGACGAGGCCGAGCTTTGTCACACCGCGGTGGGGCGACCTAGATGCAGTGGAGCAACTGTCGTCCTCCGTGCCCATCATCGTCCTGCTTGACTTGTTGCCTTGTGTCGGGGGTACACTAGCAGGCTGGGGCTGTCTAGATATTAGCTGTGGGTGAGATCATATGCATGCCGGGCTGCACCAAATAAAGGGAACAATAATGAACGAGATGAGCCCAAGTGCTGTCGCAGAAGAGATTATCCAGACCTGAGCCAACGCGACTTGTTAATAGGCACACTTGCCTTTGCGCGACGCCTCTCACCACCAGCAAGAATCCACGGCTAAGCCTGCGGCTCGGGCAAAGTTACCACCTGTACCACCCAGTGTGATGTCACCGCAATCCGCCTGTGCGCAACGCTTGGCTATGCCCGACAGAACGCCAACACACATGTTAAACATCCAGCCACACATCAGCAGTTTCCGCGGCCGCAGCACACCAGTCCCCTTGTTGTGGCGCAGCTTTCATTCATCTTGACAACCTTGCGGCACCTCTTCGGCCCAGGTCTCTATGGCCAGGGTTCCATTGATTCGACCCGTCTTGTTCAGCCATATGGCCAGAGCTGCCGCCATGGCTACGCGCAGCAGCTCGAAGGGCAGTCGCTAGACAAGCTGGCAAAGTCACTTGGTACTAGCTGATCTTCCACTGAAGGCCGCACGGCCGAACAGAAGCCCCCGCTACCGCGAGCTTGGGACGAGCACCCTGCGCAGCTGGCAGTTTCTCGTCTGATACTGAACAGCTGCGAGATACTCCGAAGTCTGCGGATTTAAGTTGCAAGCACTCTTGGGGTCGATTTGCGCTTGAGTCACTCTTGCACGAGATGGTCTTCGAGGGTTGAAACGTTTCTGAAGCAAGAGTCTGGACACACGAGCTGCTCCACGCGGGCTTAACCGCCAGTGACATCTTCAAGAACTTCCGAGCATGGGATCAATGGTAGGCCAGGCCGGAGAGGCTTCACTCGACTCCCGAATCCAATGTGCTTGGAAGCACGAAAGCCTGAGCAACTGCAACTTGCAAGCTGGCACAGCTCTAGGCCTGCGATTGCAAGCTGGCACAGCTCTAGGCCTGCGACTTTGGCAGGCATTGGCGAACCCACTGGCCCCCTTTAACTGCTGCTCTCGACGGCCTCTAACGAATCCGCCAGTGACATCTTCAAGAACTTCGGAGCATGGGATCAATGGTAGGCCAGGCCGGAGAGGCTTCACTCGACTCCCGAATCCAATGTGCTTGGAAGCACGAAAGCCTGAGCAACTGCAACTTGCAAGCTGGCACAGCTCTAGGCCTGCGATTGCAAGCTGGCACAGCTCTAGGCCTGCGACTTTGGCAGGCATTGGCGAACCCACTGGCCCCCTTTAACTGCTGCTCTCGACGGTCTCTAACGAATCCGCCAGTGACATCTTCAAGAACTTCCGAGCATGGGATCAATGGTAGGCCAGGCCGGAGAGGCTTCACTCGACTCCCGAATCCAATGTGCTTGGAAGCACGAAAGCCTGAGCAACTGCAACTTGCAAGCTAGCACAGCTCTAGGCCTGCGACTTTGGCAGGCATTGGCGAACCCACTGGCCCCCACATAACTGCTGCTCTCGACGGCCTCTAACGAATGGCTACCGGGCTACCGCCTTCTCAGAGTTCAGCAAAGGGCTGCCAGCTCTTGCAGCCCGTAGTACAGGCCGGTCACAGCCCCAAGTGTCCCCACCAGCAAACAAAGGAAGTCCAGAATCCACTCCTTAACGACGTGGAAGCAGCTTTAGCCCCCGAGAGCGCACGCATGCGGCATAGCTCGCATATCTTCATAGCTCTCCAAGGCTCGTAGCACGGCACTCTCATGCCCTGCTGCCGCTGGATCGCCACAGAGAAGACCACCGGAAGGATGAAAACGGTGCCCTGCTCTGGGGATGTCTTGTTTTGTGGTCGAAAGATGACTTCTCTTGGCTCGGGCGTTCAGACCTCAATTTTTCATGACGTAGCTCCAGGTGAGATCGAAGCCAACACACACAAAGCCGGAAAGCTTCTAAACTCTAAATTCAAGCAACTGCCAAACGCCTGCATCACCCACAGAACCCAAATCAATGTGCCAGGAAGCTGCACATGCAGTAAGAGTCTACTACTTTACCTTCGGTCAGGACTTCGAGACATTAGACTCCACGTAACAATGGCCTGGCCGGCAATGGCGGCAACCACGTCCAGCAAGGCACCAAAAAACGGCAAGGTGTAGGCCAGGACGGTGCACAAGCCCAGCAACCTGTCTACTGCATGCGAACTCAATGGTTTGACGTCTTCAGAGACTGCCGCGGACAGTGAATGATTGCAACAGCCACGTAGCAGGAGGCGCGGCAGTCGCAGGATCAGGCCACGCAATCCGGGCTTCAAGCCACCTGATCGGGTGCCCAGCGTCGCCTGACAGTATGCGGAACTGCGGAACTTGGAGCATGCTGACGTTGAGATCCACGCAGGCTCTGAAAGACCATCTTAAGGCTTTCATTCCCCGCGGGGGGGCCTCCAGGGTCTCCGCCATCGAGTGGAAAGGGACAGGAAACGCAAACAGCACCTGGCTTCGGAAGAGTTCCGGGTCCTTGCAATGCCTTTCAAAAAGTCGATGAGAGCCCTAGAAAAGGTTCGATGGAGAACGGCGTAGGGCCCCTTCTTGGGTTCTGCAACTAAGGCGCATGAAGCGTGATGGCACTGTATGCCAGTAGCAGGCTCCAATTCACAGGCTCCACCTGGGGCTTGTTTCGCAAGGACCCCAAACAACACACGCTTGAACCAAGTGCACGAGCAGACGAAAGACGATCCATCGCGCAGCATCAGGATGTAGGAAGCTCTTTCCCGACACCACTGAGACCACAAGGGGAGAGAGCAGAAACAGGCTCAACGCCGTTTGAAGTGTAGCCACAGCCAGCCAACAACACGAGCATGCATGCGAAAGCATGCCCAGCACCCACCTGGTCGGACGGACAGCCGGAAAGTCCAACAAGCACGTTCGAGTCCACCTACAGGGTGACCAAGTTTCAGTGCAAACATGACTCTGGCATACTCTGGCCTGCCATGCTGGCTCTCTCACAACAAATCCGTGCGTACGACGCGTAATTGGCCTTCCGGCTGGCCATCGCCACACCGCCAACAGAGAAGCCAGCTGCGGCCACAGCCACGTAAGTCACGATGATGAACCTCGGCCACTTAACCACGACACGCACATTTCGTTGCAAAACGCTCTACCCTGAGACGCCAAACCTGCAGAAACGTAGGCCCAGGGCAAGTACGAACGCCAGGTAAAGCTCACGAGCGCCTTAGAATGCCAATCACGAGAACGCAAGTCAAAGCTCCGTCCATACGTGTACCAACGGTACTGCCAGCGGTAAACCAATGGTCGCAGCAGAAGTCCAAGCTCTAGTAGTAGTGGTAGTAGTAGCGGCGGCAGTAGTGGAGGTGATGGTGAAATAGTAGAAAAGAGGAGTAGTAGTAGTAGTCGTCGTCGTCGTCGTCGTCGTCGTGGTGGTGGCGGTGCTGGTGGTGCTAGTGGTGCTAGTGGTGGTGGTGGGTGTAATGGTAGGTGTAAAAGTCGGCGTAGTGGTAGGTATTGTCATAGGTGTAGTTGTAGGTGTAGCAGTAGGTGCAGTAGTAGGTGGATCAGATATTGTTACTGTTGTTGTAATTGCAGCTGCTGGTGTACTCGCAGTCGCCGTCGTGGTGGCGTAGACAAGCATCACAAGTTCACAAGTCGACACGGCATCACGAAGTTGACGAAGTGCCAGAAACCAGTCTTTGTGCATTGATCTTGCGAAAGCAAAGAAAGGTAAAGAACGTACTTCTTGGGTCGTAGCGATTTCGTGTTGCTGCTGATGCTCTTGTTGCTGGTGTCTCTGCGGTTGCCGTTGCTTGCTGAATTCCGTTGGTTGTGTGTTAGTGTGAGACCCTGCGCCAAGAGCTGAGGACAGCACCCGTGCCAGGACACCACGGAGGTGGAAATCCGACAAGAGGCTGGGGAGGACGTTGATGCCTGTGAGGCGGCTGGACAGTTCCATGCGCGAGATTTCTTCGTCAACTGCGACTGTGTTGAGCTCCCCTGTCGAGCTATCTAACCTCCACTGATAGCTCTGACGATTCACCGGTGCCCTCGATGTCTAGTTCTGACAAGACCTCTCCACTTCGACACACCGGCTCCCCAAACCTGTCCAGAGCCTACCACAATGCCGAATTTGTAGATGGCACCAAGCTATCGCATTAACTACTTCCACAATTCCACCGGTACTGACCAATCGACTTATCTTCTCACCTCTTCGACCCACTAACAGACCTTTGGGCACCGTGAGCCATAGTACGAGTACAACTTTATAGAACCGTTTGTAGAACCCACACCCGCCTCCGAATCCAAACACCACTGTGTTCCAGCAGAGGCAAAGCCCTTGCAGATTCGTATACACAGGCCAACTGTTCGTTCCACCATCCAAGCACCTGAGTTGTTTGCAGAATCGGATTTGGCTGCTCCTGAAAACTAGAGGAACCTTATATAGTTCGGGGTCCTCGTGATAATGCGCATTTTCTGAAACTGCGATTTCGACTTTCAGTACAAAGTCGGCAACAATGCTTCCAGAAGGTCAGTGGCTCAAAAGCGCAAGTTGCTGCAAGCCACTAATTGACCATTGGCATTGCGCAGTTTTTGCGTAGGGCAGAACTCCGTCATGTAAACATGCCGAAGGCCACACATCCCAACCGTTCCCCAGCCAAGTCCAAGAGAAATTACCGCCCTGTCCCCAGATATCCCCAGATGCTCTGCTTTCAAGCAGCGCGCCCATCTTGGAGGAGTCTGTGCCAAACGCGGCAACCACCACGACCACCTTATGAGGATTTAGGATACATAATTTTGAGCACCCTCCACATCTTGTCGTGACTTCCCCTCCCAAGTGAAGAGGACACAAGAAGGTGGGCCCAAATTCTCACGACCATACCTCCGGCATAAAGAGTGCAAATCAAAACAGCCAGAGTCGCCGCGCAAATGGCGGAACACAGCGCTCCAAGTGCAGTGAGAAGGAAGGTCTCTTTGACCGTGGCCATGAAGTAGCCTCAGTCTTGAAGATCTCCGAACGGCGGGTCTTGTACAAGGTTTCAAGTTCGCAGGGCGATTGAATCGTGAGGGTGTGGATCTCTGCAGATCCTTTGGCTTCGGAAATTGGACCGATCTTCGAAGGTGTGAACATGCAAGCAGAAAGAGAGCTAACGTGCCGCGTTGTTGGGACATCAGCTGCTGGGGAGTGTGGCATCCCAGCCCGGGACTATGGAAGACTGCCTCGAACAAGAGAGCCCGGACTGATTTCCGAACCCAAGCGGCTTCGTGTGCCTAATGCCGACTATGTGATTTTCAAGGACATAAGTGCATGCTTGTTGCTTAGTTGCCTCAAACCTAGGAACAGTGCAGCCAACAGACGTTTGCTTATCATACAATCCTGGAAACACGCCAAACGTCGGTACAGACTCGACAAGGTGAGCCGCTCAAGTGGTCCAGCATGTGTATGCTTGGCTTCGGGGTGATCAATAGGACTCAATATATGGTTAAAAACGTTGCGTAAGGCGTTCCTGTTTGCACATGTACCGTTGCTTCGGCATCTTGGTTCTGGCTGCAACTTAGTTGGAGATGCTGAACCCTCCATCCAACCTGAAGCACACACTCAAAAGATGCAAACGCCTTGCACCCACATCTCCAAGCCACATGGAATCAGCTCAAACGCTGCTGCCACCAGGATCACGATCCGCTTTGAGAGCCCTTCGATACCCAAGATCCTCGACGAGCCAATGGATATGCTGCGAATCTTAACTCGGGAAGGAAAAGACTAGCCGGAGCATGTCCCGAGATATATTGGAGCTCTCATGCACGGCACCATGTTTTAAATCCATGCCTGTGCCATCACTGGTGCGTTGCCTGCTGCCGAGTCACCGCTCCACTTGCGCGGCATTGACTCCGATCAGGACCAGGAAGATAATACAAACGCCGATTAACATGAGGCTCCTGGAAAGTGGTTCACAACCGCACGGAGCACTCACCTGGTCAAGAAAATGCCGGCGAGCATCTGAAGAAGCATGGACAGAAAATAGCCGAAGGTTCCTAGTGCCTCAGCTGCCCTCCAGAACTTGAATCGAAGGACCAGTCGCAACTTACAAGAAACTTTGGCCCTTTATCCTTCTAGTAAAGGTCCACTGACATTCCACATGCGTCCACTGTGCACAAGCTCTACTCCCCACGTCACATAGCACCCAGGTATTTTTCATGATCTGCCACCTGCTCCGACATGCTTCTGTCCTGTGTTTTTCGCATCGAGGCTTGTGCACATGTCTAGCTAAATCTGGTTAAAACTGCCTTGTTGGAGGGTCCCGTGACACAAAAGCTGAAACGACGAGAGAAAACTTGGCCAACAAAAAACGGTAGCTGCGCTTCACCTCAGCCAAGAGTCTTGGTAGCCAATGTTTTCGTAGCTTGGGAAAGGCTGCTCCTGCACAGCATTTCCAGCAACACGAAAGCGAGAATTCCCGTCTCTCTTTCGCAAATATCCTGGCTGTGCCTTTGTTGGTTCAGAATAGACAGCAGGCAGTACATGACGATGCACCAAGCTTGGAACTCGTTGCCTGCAGAATTTCTTCGTCCCCACTGTCGCTGCTCGTGTCCTTACGTGTGACAGGCAGACTTCCACAAAGTGGCTGCTTCTTTGCACTTCGGCCCAAGGGAACACCAAAGCTAGAAGGAGCTCAGGCACATCGGGACTTCCGGCGCTGCCTTCGCTGCTCGAGGCCTCCTCGTCACTTTCATGATCGTAGCCCTGAAGGGAGGACCGGCAAGCAATGTTTTTCCCGAGGAAGGAGCTGAGGTCGCTGCAGAAGTTGAGCCGCCGCCGGCAATAGCTGCCTGAGCCACGTGGCCCAATACACGTGAAGCCGAGTCTTGAGCACCCAAGCTCACCCAATGCTAATCTAGGAATTTTGCCCGCTGAATGTTATTGCTGTTGCTGTCCCTACTTGTTTCAGCCCTGCGGCACTCAAAGTTGCGACCCTAATTCGAAGGCGCTCCCTCGATGTATCCAGGCCTGGGTCTGGAGCATGATCCAGCCGAAAAGGTAGGATGTGTGCGCTGCGCAGCACGCACAGAGCACGATGATGGGAATGCCTCCGGGCTCACGTTATTCTGTCACGACTTGGGCTCGGAGCTTCTCTGAAAGTCCTAACGGCGACAATACAAAGCAAGCCAACACCTCACTTCTCAGCTTGACTGCATATCTAGCTCAGATGCCTACCCATCCTGCGTGCGCGACGGCAGGCCCCAAAGCCAACAGCCCTGCGCCGACCTGCCAGGGGGACTTCGAAACGACCCGAGCGTCTTTTTCAGGGGACAGAGAATTCCTCCGATGGGGACCTTCGTGACAGGTAAATAGAATGCTCAGGAGCTTCTGAAAGTCCCAGCTCAAAGGCATGCAGTTACTGTCAGCATGCTTTCGCCAAGGGACCCAAATGCACTTGCCCTCCCAATTCCCGACTGCAAGACGCAAGACTCGCCTGCGTACAAGCATATGCCAACGCCGCCCTGCGCACATGGTGTGGTCGGGGTGTGCGAGAGATGAAACTCCTTGGCGCGATCCGCTGCCGGTTGTTCGAGGGTCATGCACTACGCAGAAAGGGCATGCGCTAGCAAAGCAATGGGCCGCATCGTCTTTCCACAGTTCGATGTCCACCCCCAGGAGTTTTTAGCAAAATACACTTAGCAAATCACAGCCGTGATGCCATGATATGCCATGTAGTCACACAATGTAGTCAGCTCTGCAAGACATGGTGGCTTCAAGGCGCTCATGTTCAACTGCTAAGGAGTCAACTTGGGACTCTTACATTACACCCCGGGGCTCGAGTCTCCGGGATGTCCTGCTATTCCATCTGAGATGCTTCAAAGGGCCCTGTCCCGCTTTCGCGGTTTCCTCTGCCATGGCTAGGGACGGAAAGCCGGCACGTAGCACTGAAGGTCTCGAGTCTGCGGTTTGCGTTCTCACTGTTCAGGTGTTTTGCCACCCGCCTGGCCTAGCCGATGAGAGGGTTTGGACTCTCACTCTCGCACGGCTCCAAGCAAGAATTCGGGGCCGGAAACAGGCTGCACCGGGGTTTGGGATTTGGACTCTCGGATAACTCCAGCCTGGCTTGTAAGGGGCTTTCGGATTCGAGCTTTCCAGCCTACACGAGGATGCGATGCTTGAATGCGATGTGGACCGGATGCACAAGGGGATATCTTAGACATCAAGTTCGGGAATGCAGGAAGGTCTGCAGTGCCCCGATGCAAACCGAAAAGGCATGACAGACTTTCATGAGCACGAGAATGACAAACCCGACCTACCGACACGCATAAACTAAAAGCAGTGATGCCCATAAATCAAGAATTCGCCTACACTTAATACCTCCGAGGTCGTGCACCGAGCGCATCATCCATCGATCCCAAAGAGCACCAACCGTCCAGATTAGTGAACTCGTGGTTGTGGCTTCAGCTTCGGACGTCCCCTAGAACAAAAAGTCCCCACGGATTCTGGGTCCGCTTACGCGAGACTAGCAGTCGAAAGGCCCTCGCATGACCCGGATATCTGCTCCGCGAGCTGTGGATCACTTCACTCAGACTCTGTGATAAATTGCTGCACACATTGGCTACATGATCACCATCAAACAGCTGCAACTTCTATTGGTTCTACAATTGCTTTATTGTGAGCATGAGCATGTCTGGGGCATGGTATGTATCGGCATTAGAACCATCAGCATCATTAATGTTGGCATCCGTACCATAAGCACGAGCCTTTCAAGCACTACGGTCATCGATGTTGAAACTCTGAGTGCTACTACAACTCCCACCCTGGTTCAAGCGATGTCACGAGTCTAATGATGATGTGTAGTAGTAGAATTAAATAATAATGGTTTTAGAAGTTTAGAAGTTGCACCACTCAGGAGAAGCAGCAGTGGTGGTAGTGGTCATGGAAGAAATGGAAGAAGCCTTTTCCTAACATGTAGTTGCTGCGATTAGTTTATGTTTGCTATGTGCGTCGATCCGCACGTCTCTAGCAAGCTTTGGTTACCGCAGGTTTGCATGGGCTGTGTCCGCCTCTACGCCCGTCAGACTCTGGAACCATCACTACATGGGTTGATTGGGACACTACCTTGCCTTTGCATCCTTGACTGGAGGCCTTGGCCACCGACCACAACCTGCCCGGAGCCAGCGGCATGAAGACGCCATCTATGGATTGATAACGAGCAGAGAATTTCAGCACGCAAATCAACCTGAACCAACGTGAGCTCAGTCAGTTCTCGTTGCGTCGAACTGTGCACCTGACTGCCTTGAGCCCAAGCCGCAAATGACGACAGTCGCCCATGTAGTTTTTGGAAGGCCAGCTGGGGAGACGATCCTACAACACCTGAGCTTCTGCTGTTGCTATTTTGTGCCGCATGTGGATTCAGGGACCAGAGGCTTCAGCCAGCTTTACCCACAGCCCCTGCTGAACATGGACCCTCGTCAACGTTGCTGCCGTGGGCTGGTCAGGTGCTTACCGTTTACGCAACTTACTGGAAAGTTTGAGCAGAGGCAAGCAGGCATGTGCAGTTTCTTTTTCATTTCGGAACTCGCTGCCTTGCCTTCTCTGCCTCGGCCAACTGACCTAAACCTTCGTGGCCCTCGGCTTTTCTGCTCCAAATCTTCTTTGCCAGAGCTCCGATCTGATGCGCTTTGCCGCACTTGCCCAAGTGCTTCAATGCGTTCTCCGCAGCAATGACGGCCTCCTGGTGATCCTTCAACTTCAAGCAACACAGCGCCATGTTGCTGCAAACCGCTGCCAGCTCCAGGCTCAAAGCCTCCTCATCCTCTGCTGCTCTGGATTTCGATGAACTGGAATTCAAGAGATTGATTGCCCGTCTGTAACAGGTCATGGCATCATCCCACTGCTGACGCCCGAAGAACCGGTTGCCGTGCTCTTTACACGCCTTGACTGATTCGAGCATTGTCTCCGCAGAGTCAGCCTTTTTCGGTAGGGTCTTCTCCCGTTCTTTCAGATGGCCGAGCTCCACCAAGGGTGCGTACAATGGCGCGACCAGCGCACGCCTGAAATGGCGGCGCTGGGACTCCTCTGGAAACAGCTGCCGCAACTCAGGGTGCTCACGCTCGAGGCCGCACAGCTCATCCCGCCGGCCTCGCTCCGCGCCCACGGCCGCCGCTACCCCTGTACTGCGGCCGGTGTGGTGCCCATCTTTCAACAAGCCGTGGGAACTCCCACCACCAGTGCCTCCCGGAGCAAAGCATTGCAGCTCGAAGACCTCAAAGACTTGTTGGAACAGCTCGTACTCCGCCTGGTTCATTATGATACTCCGCTTCAGACCGGGCAAGTTTTGGTATTGAGGGGCCAGGAGGCCAACATTGTCGTGAGTGAGGAAGCTGACCGAGAGGTCTACCCATGGCACTCCAGTGTTACGATGGGTCGGCATACTGTGGCGCACAATGAGCGCAACGACGCCTTGCTCATTCTGGCTGATATTCATCAACTTGTCGTTGCACTGGTAAAAGAACATGAAGGAGTCTTTTAAGTTGACCAGCGGCGGTTTACACGAATCCTCTCGCGAACGTGAGATGTACCGCTCTTCATCATTAAATTGTGCTCCGGACAATGTTACCATGGACTGCGGGGGATAGCACCCCTCCATGTTCAGAAACGTGTTGTGGGTCAATCGGCGAACGATGCCCTGGAATGGTCGCTTGCGAATACGCAGTAGGACGGGTGCGGGGCCTGAGCGCTTGACCTGCACGACGCCAATGTCTTCAAAGGAGAAGATTGCCTCCTCTGCTCGAAGTGGGGCATAGGCATAAGTGAATTTCAGCAAAGCTTTTCCAGAGCGGGTTGACACCGTGCTTTGGCAATCCGTGATCTCGAACTCGAAAGGGCTGTTGTTGGAACGAATCCGCAATCCACCGGTTCCGCCAGCCAGACTTTTGGCTACCCGGTCATCCACCAGACGGAAAGTGACTTGGCCGTGCTCATCTGACACGATGGAAAAGGGACCAGGCCCGTCCGGCTTCTCTTGTGAGACATCCAGCTGTGGGAATCCAAACCTGCGGCGCATCCTGTTCACCTCGCACATGGACAGATCCTCCTCTCGCAAGGCCAAACCATCTGCAATCTTCATGCCTAAGTGAAGGGAACAAACTTCTACGTGGGCTCCCGGCGGGAATTTGCAGCTGAAGAAGTACAAAGTGACCATGTCTCTCTCATCGTCACAGTGGTGCCAGGATCCGTAGTACGTGTGGGCACCGCCGTCCACTCCCACCACTCGGACAAAAACGAGGGGCTGCGATTCCCAAGCAGCATTGAGAGCCATGTACGGCACTTGGACACTGTTCAGCCGCACTTTGTCTTTCAGCTCCTGACCCGACTGGCAGAGCAGGAGGTCACACAACACAGTCCACTCCAAGCCTTCGCCGATCGCCCGGATCTCCTCTGGGCCCAGCGTTCTGGCCAAGTGGGGCAGCACGGAGCCGGGGTGGGTCAGCACGAACGAACCGAACCCAGCGGGTCGCCCTAAGTGAGAAACCATGGCCCTCACGTTTTCGGCAAAGGGGGACATCCTGGCCCCGCCGTCCCAGAACATCTTCTCACTTCTCCCGGCAGTCACGGCAGGTTCAGGCGAGGAATATTCCGCCTGTGGCACTGCGACCCACACCAAGTTGAGCTCCCTGTTGAATGCAAAGCTTGCGCCCACTTGCGAAAAGCTTGCACGAAGGGCTGCAACTTCTTCTGACTGGAACTGGCTCGAAACCGGCCGGACATCAGGCGACTCGAAGCCCATCAGGCGGCAGCCAACTAGTTGAGGCCACGACTGCACGCCCAAACATGCGAGCTGCTGCCGCACAAAGTCGAGCTCATTCATACTGTCGCTTGGCTTCCCTTTCTCTGTATCGAAATTCCATGTCATGGAGTTCGTGTACAAGACCCCAAAATCTTTCAGACATGCTCGCGATGTTGCTAGCAGGTTCATGAGGCCAATGTGGTCAACCAGATTCGAGGAAGTCACCACGTCGAAAAGTCGCTCGGTAGAAACAGCCAAGTGGCGACAATCTGCCGTGGAGACAGTCCATCGCACGATATGAATGCGCAGTCGCAACGCCCATACCCATTCACAAAACTCGGCAAAGCATAGTGTGAGCAGAGGCTCGGCAGCGTCTGCTGCAAAACGCGGGAAGGCATCATATGCGTTGGTGCCATAGTGCAAGTCGTACTTGTCACTTCGCCAGAACAACGTCGCGTTGGTCCTGCAGTAGGGGTCGGTAGCAACGTTAAAGTTGCCCGATAGCAAGTGCTCCTCAACTTCAGCTGTCGCTGTCTGAGACTGGCGCATCTCCAAGATGGATTCGTGGCACAGAGGCAAGTCCCACTTCAAGAGGTGCCAGTTCACACGTCCCCCAATGCTCTTCCGGAGCTCATCCACTGTGACTGCATGCCGTGGCATAGGATCAAACACTGATGACTTTCCTGGCTGCTTGCACCTCACTGACAAGGTGTTGCGGCGCATTTGCAACACTTCCGCATGGCTGGGCAACGGGGATGCCTTGCCGCTGCCCTCTTTCGAGTGCCCAGCCATCACCAACCACTTCCGCCAGGTCTCCAGAACCTGCGACCAGGACCTCCCAGAATCATTATCGAAGCAGCACCCTTGTACCGGGGCATCGTCAGGCCCCATGCAACGGTTTATCAGGCAGGTGATCTTGTCCATGCAAGTTTGCCACTGGGAATCTGTGAGGCCCATGGAGAACCAAAGAGCGAAGCTGGTCTCCAAAGGGACCGCTAAGTCCAACATGCACTCAAGCAGAAGCAGATTACGGGCTATGACGTGCGGGTCGACATCGTTCAGGAAGAAATGTACTTGCGACTGCTGACAACGATCCCCACCAAGTCTCATCAAGTTTCCTGGCTTGACTGAGATCGTTCCTCCGGCGCTCTTTGGCAACGAGACCTTGTATCTCCCTTTGTCTTTCACGAGCTTCTCGATCTTGCCCCTCTGCCCGTTCAGGTGCGCACTGCCTGTGAGCCCATGCAGCTCCACGAGAGTCCCGGGCTTGAACACATCTACCAAGCCTGCCAACGAAAACAAGCAATGCCGCAAGTCTCCACATCCCAGGCAGAGGACATCGTAGTCTGTAGCCAAAGGTGCATCGCTGTACCGAACCAGCAGGTTCTGTGCTGGGGTGTTGCCAATAGCATAGTAAAAGCGAAGGCGGTACTGGATGACACTGGGGCTGAAAGGAAATTGAAGCTCGGGCCCGCTTGTAGCAGAAGCCATCGCTGCACGCAGGAGGCTTCGAAGATCAAGTCGGGACCGGCCTTCTTGAACGAAGCGGCTGCATCTTACCAACTTGTGTTGCTGCGCTGCTGCACGGCAAGTCTGCACGACATGTGTAACATGACTGATGAAACAAGGGGTGGAACCCATGGCTGTTTCAGCCATTCCCCTGTGCCTGGCACACTGAAGGATACTAAGGCCTCAGGCTAGCGCTCTGGCAGGGCACCTTTCATCAGACCTATCAACTCTGCGAAGCTCCGTATTTTGGCGACTGCGAACTTCAGCAACGTGGATTAACGTGGATGGCCTGAGGCCGCCAAAGAGCCACAGAGATGGGAAGGAGCTAAGTAGTCTAGGCTGTGGACATTGGGTCTTTCGAGTCTGCTAGCTTGGGTGCCTATAATTAGCTACCTCCCTCCTGGGCAAATACAGTATGTTGCTCTTAAACAGCTGTGTCTGTCGGCACTAGTGTGCCAATTCATCCTCCCCGTGAACTACCACGAAGAAGGATCCTTGTGTACAGGCCAGATCAACGTGAAACTGGCTGCGTGCATTACGATTAGACCGGTATCCATTCAATTCTCAATGCCAGGGGTCGCATGTCGTCGCATCGGACTCTGTGCACTTGCAATCCTGCAAACCCTGCATACCCGGCATGCCCTCAGCATCACTGTCCAGCTGCAGTGTCCTCCATGTTGCGCAACGTCAAAAAGCACAAGCTGCAAAACAAAAAGCAGATGACGGTATCTCGTTCCCCTCGCAAACCCTGTTTCTACCCCACCTGGCGACCCCAAACCGACCCTGCGAAGAGAAAAGAAGAGTTTCAGAAAGCAGAGGACTCAATGTAGAATAGTATACATATATACATATATACATATATATATATATGTATTTATTTATTTATTTATTTTTATTTATTTATTGATTGATTTATACATAGATATACATAGATATACATGAATGTACATGAAGATACATACATATACATGTATACGTACCACTTCATACATTATTTGATGTTCAATGTTCAATGCGCGCCTGCTCCGGCTCCTCAGCCGGCGCCTCCTCAGCCAGGGCCTTGGCGGCCTCCTCCTGGACTCTCCCGGCTCTCCGGGGAAGCATCGTTACCCCACGGCTGGCACATGTGGATGCACTTCTGGAAGATGGATCGGCAGGTGAAACCAGACGAGGGATGAAGTATCGCAGCCCCGAATCCGGAACAGGCCAGGAGAAGTGCGGGAATCGGCCCTAGTGATGCTTCAAGCAAACTGAACCCCTGAATATCCCTGAATCGCACCTCAAGGCTGTTGCATCAAGCCTTATCTCAAGTCTCGAAGCATCTCGAAGCCCCCACAACTTGATGCTACCAGTAGAAGGCCTTACACCTCGCCTTGGCGGCAGCAGCCAGTTCGCGGCGCTTTTTTGCAGAGATGCGCTCTTTTAGCTCCTGAAGGAATTTGCCCTCCTACCCACCCTCATGCGACTTCAGATCACTTTTTCTGCGTCAGGTCGAGCAGCAGGCAACAACTCACAGTTCAGCCAGGCGAAAACCATCGAGCAGCTTACTGGCAGAGCCGGAGTGTGTCACCGTTTAACCAAGCTGGATCCAGCGCATCTCTACCATGCCATAAACCTGGCACCTCGTGACCTCTGGCATCTGTCGCAGTCCTTGAAGGTGGCGAGGCTTCCGTCCACGTAGGTCTCCAGCTCTTCCTGTAGCATAGGCGGACTTATTCGAGAACGGGGAGAATGCTGGTTGAAGGAGTTGTGTTGGCAACCTCCACCACCTCCTCCTGCATTTCCAACTCGCAGAGAACCGCGCCTTCTTTGCGTCTCTAGTTGCCGTGGCTGCCTGATAATCAGGCCGGTAGTCCTCAGCAACGAATTCCCGTCCTGCTCTTCTCGATGTGTCTCGAGTGTCCGGTTTACTTAAAGCCGAGCGGCTGCAACTGCCTTCTTTGCAGCTGCTACCACTGCATTTGCCTCCTTCTGTGCCTTCGAATGCCCAGGCTTAACAAATATTTAGCCGCAGGGCGAACATGCTGCAGGGATCAGGACTCGGAAATGCTCGGTGACAGCCTCCTTTGCCGCACAGAGTTCGACAGACGCCTCGCACGTCTCAACAGGTTCCTTCTTCTGGTCCCCATGCGCAGCGGTGTAACTGTGGGACAGTGCAGAAGCCAGCCCCAGGGCCTCTTTCTGCTTCGACTCGGCCGCTTCGTGTGTAGATTGTGCTTTCTGCACCTGCAGGCAAGTGCGCCATCTTGAGGGCTGCCACATCTGCCACAGGGATACCACTCTTTGCATGAAGGCCCGCTAGACTCCCTCACTAGACCTCTTCTGTCTCTCACGTCAGGCTGCACGGCTAGACCTCTTCTCGACATTCGGCCTTCACCGAATTCCGAGCTTCCCTTTTTCCGTCGCGGCCTCCTCGGCCCTCGCTTCTGCCGCAGGCGCTGCTTCTGCCAGCTGCGTCTCGAACCTCTAAGCGGCGAGAGCTTCAAACCGGCTTTCGAGACTTGAAACCGCGATTTCCGTCTTGCCAAGCGAGGCGCTCTGTCAGCTTGGCTGTGAAGTTTGCCTCGAGCTGCTCAAGGACCTTTTTGGGCAGAGCAGGCTGAAGCCAAAGTCAGTCAAAGTCAAACATCTCTCATGCAGGTGGCGATCTGATCGAAGCTCCCACGTTCCTGCAGGCCGCACTGAAAAGCTGTGATTTCGTTCCTTCGATGGCCCTCCCACAAATTCCACTATCAAGATCCTCGGGTGGCTTCAGAAGCGTCGCAGGCGCGGCGGTGATGAGCGACGCGTCCGACCCCGTTTGCTTGATGAAAGGCCTCCGGAATCTGACGCTGCTTTCAGCCAGGCACCCTCACCGTGCCTGCCATGTTTCATCTGTCCCCAGAGCCGCACTACCGGCTGACACGGGGTCCAACAATACTTATGGGAGGGACGGGGTGTCGATTTGAATCCACGGCTGATCTGAAATCCAGCAAAGGGCAGACAGGATGGCGATTGTGTCAACAGGCTAACTCCGTGGACGGGCGGCGCAGTTCTGCATAAACTTTAGAGCAAGAGGCGCTGTCAAGCTTCATACAGTATGAGCGGCTAGGATTTTCGCAATTACATTGCTGTCTCAACGATGACATGTGCAACGCTTGTTATATTGCATGGCCACTGTCTCTATGTCTACGGGTTGCCAAGCTCGCCACTCAATCTTCTTGAGCAACTGCTTCGCCTCCTGCCATGTGCTATTTCTGTGTGTTTGGGAACGCTACAAGGGGACCAACCCAGGACCCACATTTGGACAGATACCCCTTCAGGTAGTCTAAGTCGTGGCCGTCACCTTGGCGACTGCCCCGCCGGACTTCAGCTTCTCGAAGCACTCCGACTTGGTGCTTTCCAGAAGCTCCTTGGCAAGTCCAACTGCACGACACCCGGAAACTGCCGGACAAGGTGCCTTGTCTGCACGTGCTTTCACGATGCCTTCGTCGCCTGAGTTGCGAGAGCATGAATGTCTCCCTGCATCTGGCGAGCCCGCGGGCACGCTCGGAACTCCTGCCGCCCAGTCGCCCTTTTTCTGCTCGTTGAGCCGCTGAGTCAGAGTAGCTTTGCTTGTGCACACCGCCTGTGCCACGACCCAAGGACAGGACCTGCGGGCCTCCTTTCGCCTGGTGCTCCCAAGGCCTCGGAGGCCGTCTTGAGTTTGGCCTCGCACTCGGACGTGTAGGCCTCGGTCAGGGCCATTTCCCAAGCTGAAGAGATGAAGGCGAGTGCCAAAGCTGCCAAAGCCAAAGCACCTTCGCAGCTTGGAGGGACACCTCCGCATCCTGAGGCGCAAGGCGGTCTGCACAAAAAGGATTAGAAAGTGCTACGACTGCTACGAATACCAGCCTCTGTCTTGTCTGCGTCAAGCGGTGGTTCCAAGCACGAAACGGGAATTTGCAGAAGCATCGGAGATCCGAAGTATGTTGACGTTTTTAGAGTTTTTGTCTTCAGAGACGACAAGACCACACGGAGGAGCCCAATGTACGTTAGACATAAAGGTGCCGATCATGCTGTAAACACCAGGCAATTCGCTTGTCTGGAGTCGGGGGTCGTTTTTGAATCCCCTGGCCCTCCCTTCGCCCCAAAGCCGGGCAGGAACCGCAACACCCTCCGCGACTGCCTTGACCGTCTGGTCAAGTTCCGCCATCTTGGCTTCAGCACCTGAGCAGGTTGCTGCAACTGGCATCTCCTGCGAGGTGGCGGACCTGGTTTTGAAAGGCTCCATGCCTGCCACTTTATCGTTCTCCGTGTCGAGTGCCACTTGCAAAGAGCCAAGGATCCTTGGTTACTCAGAGGGGATCTGGAAACTGCCGTCCTAACTCTGCAGTCACACCAGGAAGCATGGGTGCCTCATCACCTCGCCATGATCATCATCATCTGGGAGAAAGGAACATGAGATGAGACACGCGGTGTGCTCTGCGATGGAGGGCGCAAACCAAGCCCATAGGCGCAGCTGTAGCACATCAGCGAAGCAAAACAGAGCCTCTGCAGTAGCCTCAGCACGAAGCCTTAACCTCAATGCTTCATGAGCAAATGCATCATTGTCCCTCCCAAGTCCGCGTTTGTCTGGGCAGTACCCCATATCTTAAAATCCAAGGTTGGCAAAACCTTGCTAAACCTGGGCTCTGACCGCAATGTGATCAAGCCACCTCCCAAAACAACGGAGCTCCGTGCTAAAACCCGCCCTCTCGCGGCCGCCCCGTGGGATTGACTAACATGGGAGGTCGTTAATATTCCTATTATGGCTATTAATACTGCTATTAATACTATTAGTATAATATTATGTTCTCATGCCGATTCTGTCAGCCGAGTTACCTCGACGTGACCTGCCAGACTCAACTTGACAGTGGTGCGGATTTGTGCACTGGTTTTGGACCTTTAGCACTCACACCTGGACTCCAGGAGTGATACCTGGGCCCTGCAAGAAACTGACTTCGGAGTACACTCGTCCTACAGAAAATGCCCAACTCTTCTCCGGACCTACTCTCGAGTATCCACTGACCTCACTGCATCGAAGGAACCCTAACCCCCCAAAGTAGCCAAAAAACGCCAAGGCCGGTCATTTGGCGCCTCGCGATTAAACTCGGCATCTCAACGCTCTACTGAATTATTAAGGCAGCTGCAAGGAGCAGCGCCTCAACGAATTGCGCTGTCGGGCGGCTGACTGCACGAGAGGCTGTGGCGACGGTTGGCCAGAACAAACCACAGCCCAGCGGCCAACAGAGAGCACAGGTCTGCGTCAATGCGCGCCTGGCTGTACACATATCGACATGTAAAGGTGCCGCCTCACACGGCACAACAATCAAACCCCCAAGATTGCTACCAATAGTTGTCACGTCCCAGGTCCTGGCATACGAAATTTTTGGTTGCAAGTAAACGTAGTCTGACAAGATTCTTCTGGAGCGTCTTCCCACACCGACATGCGTGGACACAGGACATGATCACGCATAAAATTAACGTGTGAAACTCACATGAGTCACCTGGATGTGTCACCGACATTCGCCGCTGCTCGTCCGTGCGACGTGCAGTGCCAGACACTCGTCACTTCCCGAAGCCCGAGAAGATCGTGCGTGTGACACGAAATCCAAGTGACGTTGCAGGCTTACATACACTTTCTGATCTCATCATGGCTTGCCCATGCGACGAGACGAGGCCGCCAAAGCTCAAGCCCGTGCTCAAGCTTGCAGCTTAAGCTACAGAGCGAAACCGCGGCAGGGAACTGTGATAACTTTTTTCACGGAACAAATAGTTTGCCTTGGCCAAGGGTGATCGGCGATCGTGCACGAAGCATTAGCAGCCGCCTTCAGCAAGGGACATCGCCTGCGCAACGGCAAAGGGTGGGTGGGTGGCCAAGAACCCTTTCAATCTTCCTATCCTCAGCTGATTTTAAAAAATGGTTAGCGCAACATGTGCCGAACCTCGGCCATCTTCACCTGCATCGCCTCTGGCGAGCGCTAATTACATAAGCAGCTTGAATGACTTGCATACGAGGCCACGCAGACAGTGCATTCTTTCATTCCCTGAGTTTATGAACTTGGTGCAAGCATGGCCCTGCCCTCCAGACTCCTACACTCATCCGAGCTGCAGGAGGGAGTTTGCTCAGGTAGTTCTCCTTCTTCCTGAGCAACGCATCCGATACTATGCCCCCTGATGCGCCCACTATCACATGCAACTTGGTGACGAAATCCAACTGCAAGTAAGCTGCTGAGGATTCTTCAGCTTGCTCAGCTCCTGCATCTTATGTGAGCCGAGTGTGCTCCCTGCAGGCATCACAACCTCACTCCTTTCTCGGTTCCTGGATTTCCTTGCCCCTCCGGGCGCAGCTCCGAAGACAGCCGAGACTCTGTGAAGCTTTGGTTTTCATGGTCACATTCCTGGACAGCGATTGAAGTTTGCGCCTTTCCTGTTACTCCTCCTGCTGTTTGCACTGCAACGCCGCAGAATTGCATCCTATAGACGTATACGTTTATATGTTCTGCAATGCCTTTTGTCGGCCACGGGTCTTTGCGAGCCTCTGTCTGTGGACCTGGCGCTGATGGAACATCGCAGTAGTAGTTTCGCAGAAAAGCCTCTCTCACGCCAGAAGCACGGGCCCGCTGCTCTGTGCAATCCACCTTTCCGCTCAGAGCTGAACTCAAAAGACAAGAGTTCTTGGGACTCTTGTTAAGTGGCGGAGTGGCTTCGATCCTTTGTTGAAGGAAATCGATGGCTTGCTCCCCGAGCGCTGCATGTCCGGATAGCATAATGGCTCTCGACCCCAACCTCGAGCATGCTAGCGGCTGCTAGCGGAAGAGAGGAGGCCCCAGTTCAGTCTTGCTTTCAACGACCCCATCTGCAAGCTGGTCTCAGAAGGGTTTGGCTTGGAACTTCTCTGGAAGCCCTGCAAATACTGATCATGGTCGTGGTCCCCGTCCTGCAAATGCTTTTCCACTGCTGTGGGCTTCCTCAGATGAGTGTGACATGACAGGCATGACAGGCAGAGGACCTACATCGGAAGGCAGCGAGGCAGAAGAGGGTTCGTGCTCTTCAGGATTGACGAGCCACGGGCATGTGTGCAAATTGGGGCCGGGACTTTTTGGCAGCTGGCTTTTTCTGGGAGAGCTCTGGCTGAGCGGCAGCGCCTGCTGCGACATGAGAGCTGCAGCAGACATCACATAACCGACAAAGATGCCTTCAACAGGAAATCAAGGTCAGCTTCCAGCCGTTCCATGTATGGATCACCCGGCCTGTGCTTTCAGCCTGGCGTGCCTCCACAACCTGTCGGACACACTTTAAATCTACTCCCTGGGTGCCGACCTCCCTGCTGAGGGAGCTTGAAACGCGGATGAATCCACCACGCTCCTTCTCAGCGACCTCAAGCAGTGTCGGCGGCCCCAGCCTGACAAGCTTATATGCTCGAGGCCTCTCTGAGAAAATGTTGTCATCCAGTAAGAAGGCAGGAGGACAGGTGATGTAACGGTGGACTGTGTAAGTGTAGGGCTCAGACAGAATCGCGCAGATCCACTAAACAACCGATGCCTCTAACCACACTGAGCCCGCCCCTTTCGGTCGGGACGAAATATTCGGAGTTCTCTCTTTGGGATCCCCAGGGATTTCTCCCTCCCTCCCTCTTTGGGCCTCCGTGGCGACGGAGAGCAGCTGGGTGCAGAGGGAGCCGAGGCGGCCCGGAGCGCCTCGACGCGCTGCCGCGTGGCCGCGGGCCTCTCCGTAGGGGTTTCTTAGGGGTTTAGGGGTTTAGGGGTTTAGTGGACAGTCGAGCTTCTGGCATCTTGGCTACCCAGAAAGGTTGAAGTTATAGAAGTATGCAATCGCAAGGGTCATCAGAATGACACTCGTCATTAGCAGACATGCCGGAGAAACTGCAAAGCAATGGCGATGGAGGGGAACCGTAGAAATCTGGATTGCGAGCAAGGTTTGAAAGAGTGTACGAGCCAATAGGGAATCGGAGTAATTTATGTACACTTCCTTCACTGCTCGGTGTACAAAGCTCCTTTGAAGCCACCCTGAGCCTTAGCCCTTTCTCTCTATGTGAAACGTAGCATCTCTGCCAGAATGGAGAGCTCCAGGTAGCCCGAAAGGTTCTCTGCACAAGCGTGAGGCCATGATGACAAGCTGTGATGGCATTCTGTATGGCATGAGCTGTCTGTTCAACTAAAGGGTCCAGTCATGAAGGTGGGGAGCAAAAATGGAGCTTCCGCATCTGCGTGAGCATTACATGTCGAGGTCGTCTTCGTCATGGCAAGTTCAAGAATGGCAAAGCTGAGCACTGGGCAGCTGTTTCAGGTAGGCAGTCTTGGCTTTCTCGGACTTGAGCTTGCTGAGCTCCTCCACATGCTTCTCGGAATCGTCGACCTTCCGAGCCTGCGAGGAGTCATGCAAGGAAAAGCGCATTCCACAACGAGGAAAGTCGAACCGCGGGGGGTCCTTGGCCGAGTCCTTCGGTTCCTTCGCAGGAGCTGCGCGCTTTTTGCTTTCGGGCTCCTCGGTCTCCTCCTGGACCTCGGCTTCAGAGAGGGCTGCCGCCACCTTGGTCTGCATGGAGATGGTCAGCTTGGCGATGTATTTCTCCTTCTGCTTCTGGGTCTTCAGCTTCGCCAGCTCATCCATGTGCTTCTCCACGGCTGCTGTGAGCTTCTTTGGCTTCTTCACCTCCTCAGCCTCGGCCTGCTGTGCCGCAGCACGCTTCTGGGGGCGTCCCGAAGGTGCCGGGGCTTCGGCCGCTTCGTCGGGCTCGGGCAAAGCGGCTTCGGGTTTCGCCGCCTTGCCCCGCTTCTTCTCCTTGGGCTTCTCGCTCGGAGCTGGGGCTTCCTCCTCCACCTCTGCTGCCGGCAAGGCATCGGCACACATCGACTGCGCTTCGGCGACCTTCATCCGCATGGTCAGCGTGATGTTGCCCAGATACTCTTCTCTCTCTGCCTCCGTCTTTAAGCTGCGCAGGGCCTCCAAGTGCACGTCGACTGCCGTTGTCTTCGTCTTCTTTTTGCTCCTCTCCTCCGGTGCAGGCTCCTCGGCCGCACGCTTCGAAGGCTCCTCGGCCTGGGCCTCCTGTTTGGGCTTCCTTCCCGGCTTCTTCTTGGGCTCAGAACTCTCGGGCTCCGCCTTCTTTTGGGAGTTGGCCTTTTGGGACTTCGGCGCCTGCGCGGGGCAGCGTCTCGGGGCTCTCGCTTGGCTCGCTTCAAAGCACAGCCGGTGCCTCGTCTTCTGCCGCTTCTGCCGCTTCTGCCGCCTGCACCGGCAAAGTTGCCGAGGTCTTCGGCGAGGCTTTATCCTTCTTCTCGGATGAGCCTGTCGGCCAACCCTAGCAACTGAGCAATCACAGCGTCGAATTGCACGCAAAAACTGTCCTGCCAAAGCCGCCTTTTGCTGCGAAGGGGATGCCGCCTTCAGCAAAGAGAAGCAGAGCAATTGCCTCGTTGCATGCAGCTTCTGCACGTTAACCATGGCGGTCAGCCTTCGCCGCAACGGCGGCAGTCCTCAGATCTCACCGCGCGTCAGAGGTGAACCGCAAAGCTGTCATGCGAGGCCCATCAACCGTTGAAGCCATAGAAGCCAAGCTGCTCAGTCTTTCCTGGAGATGCTGTGCTGGCGTCTTCTTCAACCTCCTCCTCTTCGGCCTCACGATTCGAGCAGATCCGGGCTTGACTCGCTGTATCTTCCCTTCGTAGTCATGAAGCTGCTTTCCCTGCTACTCTCCGTTGCCGCTCTTGTCTTCACTGTGACAAGTGGTGGTGGTGGTGGTGGTGGTGGTGGTGGTGGTGGTCGTGGTGGTGGGAAGGATGCCAATGGTCACCTCTTCCTCGCCATCGGCTGCAGGATACCTGAGCTTGTCATCAACAGGCTGTACAGGCATCGCGGAAGCCTTCTCCTTTCTGCTACAGCAACCATAACTGTGCGCGACCCTTTGCTGCACTTGCGGTCCAAGATCAGGAAACATCCGTAGTTTGACAATTCACAATCATTCACAATCCCGCCCACTCCAGGAAGAACACGCCCGCTCAAACTCCATCAGCCTGGGCCCCCGGCTGTTCGAGGCCCGCCGGAGGTGGGCGCTGCGCTGCACGTTCAGCTCGCTGCCGTGCGCGCAGGAGCTCTGGTGCTTCGGCACCTCCGAGACATGTTGAACCACGTTTGCATTCAATTCCGGCATAACGGCGTCTGAAGCCACAAAGGTGAAGAAACTTGAGGGGCTCCAGGTTACAGGTTTGCAGGTTTCGATGCCTGATTTCCGACACCATTCAGGCAAAGGCTCGCAGTTTGAAATTGCAAACAGAGGGACTTGCATCGTAATGTGGTGGTGCAACAACATCTTGTGTAAGCGAGGATGCACTGAACTTGCATCAGAATCAAGCTAATCAAGCTCACTTGCTCCGAATATGAGCTCGGCCTACTGGATACACAGGCCTTCACCCAGACTACCCTACATGTGAACACAGACTGTCGGAGCATACAAATCACCTTTTATCAACATGAGCATGAAGACTTTCTAATCTTGTCGTGCCGCGACCAACATCATCCGTACGACAACGGTAGCCAAGAAGGCAGTTGTGATCATCCGCTTGATCTTTCTGCCAACTTGAGCCGTCTGCCGTAATCGGCTTTGCCTTATCATCAACATTTTTTTTCGCAATTCGCATGCCTACTACTATCATGTCTATCCTCATCCTCATCACCAAAACGTCTTCAAGGCAGCTCTAGAGAGACTCTAGCCTTTAGCAGTTTTCTCACATCTCCAATAGGAATTTCGGGAAGAAAGCGTGATGCATGCACCACGGCTGGCAAAGCTCCGACAGTGCAGTAACCCTGAGAGGGTTCGGCGGCTTTCTCATATGTTCCCAAGAAAGCGAGGGGAAAGAAGCTTAGCAGGGAAAGGGTGGGGCGACTCTTCAAGCCAATCTATTGTCGCACCGCGCTGCGAATCACTCGAGCAATGCATGGCGGAGGCCTGGCACTTTATATAAACTTATAAACACTTTCTGATTCAGTTGGCATTTTCGGGCCGCCACATGCCACCCGACTTCAGCCTGCTAGTGGGATACTGCCAGTGATATGCTCAGAGCAACCAACTGCCTGCGCGCTAAATGCTGATAGTTGCTGCGACTTTCGCTTACAAAAGAAGCAGAAAGCTGCTTGAAACTACAAGTACTGCCGATCTTGCAGGGTCGAGACAGTGGATGTGCACTGCGGAAACTTTTACCTCTTGCTTCTGAACCAATCATTTGCGTGGTGGCGGGAGGGGGGACCCTCCCCCCGCGTTTAACTGTTGTTGCGCGACCAAATGAGCTCCTATGCACGGTATTGACCTGGTTCTCTACCACTGAGGTGACTTAGTCAACGACAACTCCCGCAAGCTCCACGGAGCCAGCTTTGCTGATCCGAGGCACCTTGCGATGCGGAGACAGGGGCAGCCGGCGTCTCTCCGCTCTCGGCTGGCTCTCCTGCCAATCTGATTCTTCAGGGACAGGGAGTTCTGCTGGCGTGACCCGCCTGCCCGACTCCGCAGACGCTCGGCCAGACTGCGCGCACCACGCATCGGGGAGCTGCGCAGGGCCGCAGCCGCAGCCACTGTGGAGGCCTGGGTTGAAAAATCGGTTCAAAGGCTCGGGTTCGGGAGTTTTTGCCGCCAAGGCGCATAGAGCCATCCCAGCCCTGTCTGGCGCACGGGGGCCTTGTGGCCACTGGACATCAAGTTTAAAAGGAGAGCACCGGCCCCCACGCCAAAGCCTCCTCTGCAGGTACCGCAGTCGTCTCTGTCTGCGGCGTAGCCAGCTCGGCTTGCTCGGCTTGCTCGGCTTCGGATGCCGGTGCACTGGCTTTTCCGGCATCCACGCGATCTGGCCGCGTGGCTTCCGCCGCAGGCTCGAGAGTCTCTGATGCCTTGACAGGCACACGAATCCACAGCCTGTGAGATTGAGCAAACATCGTGCCGATATCCTGACTTCCACCTACCCCGCTGAAAACCCTTGCAGCACCTCCGCGGCTTCCGCCGTCTCGGTCGCATCCTGCGAAAGCCATCCAGAGCGTGAATGGCATTCGGCTGTGCAATGTCAGAGTGGCCTTGGCAGCATGTCCTTCAGCAGGTTCCAACACCTCAAGCGACATTCTCAAGTTGCATCTGCGACAGCTCCATCAAGCCCAGAACTGAACGTCTCTACGAACACAGTACATCTGTCGATTCTGACGCATGGAAAGTACAAGTAGGTGCCACGGCTTGCTTCTCCGCAGGTTTCTGCTGATCCCATGTACGGAAGTATCAATGGCACTTGGTGCAACAAGCAGCAGCTTCGATCCCACGAGGTTATCAAACAAGTGTCTGTTCAACCAGTATCTGCAAAGGAGGTCCTATATCAACTTCTTGCGTCGGCTCCGCAATAGTTTGCCACACAAGGCTAGTTCAAATCCGGTCCACCCGTGTCCACAAGGGCATGTCACGCTACGCCAATACATGCAAAGCTTGTTTCCAAGCCATCATTGCAAAAACTGATCTCGCCTCGTCTTTGTCTTGGGCTTGTTCAGCTCCCTCCTCCTCGCCAGTGCCAACATCCCCACATTCGCCGTAAAATACTCTAGAACCGTATCTGTTCCGCATGTCCTCCGCCACGTCTTCCGGGGAGTCTTCGGCAGCAGCCTGGCCATCGCTGCAGCCCACCGCTCCTGCCTTCTAATTCCGACACTCTGTCGCATGCACCTCCGCACTGCAGTCTGCAGTGTCCTGCAAAATGTAGGTACCACAATCAGACAAAGAAATCTACTGGCTCATAGTGCCGTTCGGGCATTCCTCGGCATCTGCCTGAGTTGGCTGCGCAGCCTGGGCACACATTTCATGCACAGGCTGAGCCACGCTCTACGGAGAGGGCACTTGTGCTCCATCACATTCCATCACCATCAGTCTGCCTCGGTTTCCTTCTCTGCGACAGCTTCTTCCTGGCCAAAGCCACTGGCCAAAGCCCAGGTCCGGCATCACACAGACGCTGACGTGTCAAGCCAAGTCGTGACATGCAGAAGAAGAAACAGGCAGGAACGTCCTCTGCAACATCTGCAACTTCTTCCTCAAGCAGCTCCGCTGCTGCCTGCCGTGCCATGCTAGCAGCTGCGAGCACTTTCCTAGCCACGTTCTGAAGGCGTCCTGCCATCATTCACCTGCCTCCTCCGCGAGCGTTTGCTTGTCTGCGCACGTCGCATCCTGCAAACAATCAGCCGCAAACCACGAGAGATGTGGAGTTGTGCCAGCACTTGCCGCCAGTCATCCCAGAAGTCAGAATGCCACATCACGGAAGATGCATTTAGTTGCGCAACCTGTCCAGAATGTCCTGAGCCACTTCCTCTGCAGCCACTGCCTGCTGTCTGCATCGCGCCACTGGAATCTTGAGAATGCTTCATGAAAAACATCTCAGACGGGAAGAACACTCTTGCCTCCTTTACCTCGATATCCTCCGCTGGGGGTGCAGCATCCTGCGCGCAATGCAAACCGACATAATGCAA